ACGGCGATGAGTCTACAGCTAACAACACAAAATCCTACACTTGAAATGTGTGAGGGCAGAGCAGAGGTGTTTTTTAAATCAATAGTAAGAGGAACTAAGATGAACTTTTTGGAGTCAAAGATTTCAAGCCCTCTTGGAAGCTCCCTGCACATGCCTCTGGGGCAGCAGCTGAACCCGAGAGGCACGATCACCTGCATTTCAGGAAAGCGGGTGAAACCCAGTGGGGCCGTTTCTTGGCTTGGTAAGCAACAGGCATCTGACAGATTCATCCACTTATGTGCCTTGCTCAAGCATAGATGTCATTACCTAAAGCATTATATCCGTTCACATAAGGAGAAATTTCTATATTTTGATAACAAGAGGTAACTCCCAAGGGAGATGATACAATTTTAAATATCGTAAAAAGCATCTTTGGCTTACACAGTTGGGAAAGGTGTGTGCATAAATGAGTTACAATCACAGAAACACTTCTTAAAGAGATGTGCATGCGTGCGTGCGTGCGCGCGTGCGTGTGTGTGAGTGTGTGTGTGTAGGGGTATGTATTGCGTGGAGGCTGGAGTGTTTTCCTTGATAGTCTTCTACTTTATTTGCTGAGGCAGAGTATCTTTCTGAACCTGGAGTTGGATGACTTAGCTAGCTTAGCTATTAGCTTATTCTGGGAGATCCCTGTTCATCCTCTAGAGGCCTGGGAATCTGAACTCTAGTCTTCATGTCTGTGTGACAAGGACTGGATACATTGGGCCATTTCCTAACCTCCTATTATTCTTATTCATATACACATACACACATACATATATGGATATATACACATCTTCTTAAAATATTTTTTTCCCTAGGCATGGCTCATTTTGCTGGACACAAAAATTCCAGTGTAGTACTCACGTCTATTCCAGACTCATTCAAGCAATACCAAGCTGTTGCATAACTTAATATCATATGCTAAGACTATGCACAAGTCATTAATTTCCTCCCGCTGGAGGCTGAACCTCTGCTCCAGTCCTGGCCTGCCCACATCATCTGTCTGGCAGTCAGTAGACACTGTCATTATTGGCTGGCTTAACTTCTCTGGAATGAGGAAGTAGGAGCCTATCATGTTTGAGCAATTATGATTCAGCCATGGGCAGGTCCTCTCTTGTATCCCTGATATTTTATTCTCCTTGCTTTCCCATGGGACAAGCCACCTGCAGAGTTGTAACTCATCAGGGAGCCCACCAACGTCCCATTTCCAGCATGCCCAACGTGTGTCTAGCTAACTCCAGCTTCGGTACAGCAGCAGGGAGCTTCCTTATCTCCAAATGGGTCCTTGATGCCTTCTCTATGTTTATGGGTGGGAAGGAGCATCAAACCCCTATGTCTACCTTGAAACCGAAATTCAATAGGCTCAGTTGTCTGTTCTTCAGAACTGTGCTGAGAGACTGTGACTCTCCGGAGCCCTGCAAATACCTCCTTACAGGCTGTCAGGACTCCACCAAGCCTTCTCTTTCCAAGGTTGCACAGTTTCTTTCACTGTGACATGACTGAACTTCCCTTGTCTTCCCGAAAGCTTTCCTGTGAACACACTCACACACCCATTGTTTTCTAAGAGCTTCTGAACCGCAGGCGAGTGCAGCCCAACAGGTGCAGGCAGAACAGCCCAGCATCTAGGGCTGGAGAGATGGCTCAGTGGTGAAGAGTACTGCTTGCTCTTTTTAAAGTCCTGAGTTCAATTCCTGGCAACCGCACGATGGCTCACAACCATCTGTAATGAGATCTGCTACCCTCTTCTGGCCTGCAGGCAGAATGCTGTACACAGAATAAATAAATCTTTTTTTTTTTTTAAAGAAAAAACAGCCTACCACCAAGTAGGCATGCTCACCTCTCTCTCCTTACACATTGCACATCTACTAACTTAGGCCAGGCCAGATAAGCATGGAGGCTATCTTGCCACACAACAGATTTGAACCTCTCCTGCCCCCAGTTCTACAGGCTATATTTTTCAAACACTTGCTGAGCCATGCTCCTTGTCACTCTGTGTTTATCCCTGCTGTCTCTCACCTTGTTAAAGGTTGACCTTTATTCCCATCTGCTGAGACTGACCACATCTCTACCCTCCCTACTTAATAAGTTCTTGATGGTCTTGTGCTCTGTTGAGAAGGAGACAGAAGTTAGCATAGGACAGAGGCCTCCAGGCTGGCCCGGGTCTGTTACTTAGCACCCTTGAGAAAAGCTGTTTATCCACGCACAAATCCTGTTAAAGACACTCCTTCCAGTGCTCACGTCTCCTTTTTAGGATTCTCACGTCCAATACCTTGTTGAAAGACAGATGCAGAATACGGACAACATTCTGCCACTGATGGACAAAGACACCAAGGCCTATGGGTTCTCAGCTGTTATCTTCCCAAAGGGGAGTCAGGCTATTCTACCTATCATTCAAAAATACACATCCAATGTCGACTGTGTTTGAGGTTCAAGGCCCCCCAGGCCCCACCCACTCATACAACATCAACATCGTCAGAGTTTCTTACTTTTAGAGATTGTGCTCTAGGTGCTGGGGGATTGCCTAACCAGCAGAGCACCCACCGCATACAAGTATGAAGACCAGAGTTAGGATCCCCAGATCCCAGATCCCACATGAAAACAACCAAACACAAACAAACAAATCTCCCCACAGGGTCACCTGTGTCTGTAACCCTACCACTAGGGAAGCAGAGACAAGTGGGCTCCTGCAGCTCATTCTCCAGGTTCAGCTAAAGATCCTGTCTCAAAAGACAAGGTGGAGAGTGCCAGTCGGAGATACCCAGTGCTGACCTCGGGCCTCCAGATGGACATGGATCTATACACAAACACACATGTGCATGGGCAAATAAAAATAATTAACTTGGACTATCAAAACAGGCTAGCTGGTAATGTTGCTTGCTGTCAAATCTGATCTGAGCTCAGTGTTTGGTTTCCATGTGATGGAAGGAGAGAACCCACTCCTGAAAGTTCCTTCTGAACTGCACAAGTGTGTCACGATGTGTATACACACACACATATAAATAAATGCGAAGGAAAGTTATTTAAATAAATAAATCAAACCTTTAGAAAGCAATGCTTGGTGGACACCGTCCCCATTCTTCCTTCTCTCGTTCAGTGTTAGGCCTGAGGCAAACACACGGTAGCTTCTCAAGAAGCATACATTTAATGAGTTTAATAATCGCCATAGTACTTGTCTACTGAGGCTTCCTATACTGTGCACACAGAATGGGTTGAGTATTCCATGTTCACAGCACACTTCTGCAGTTTGTTGCAGAGTTGGTCGGGCAGCCTGCTCAAGCTCACGCACCAGAGGGAGGGCAGAGATGGGGGTGCAGGTCTGGTCCTCTCTAGCAGACACACAGGTTTAGCTGGCTCACTACAGCGGAAGGATTCATGAAGCACAGGTCTCGTTTTATAACCTGTAAACTCACAGGCTTCAGAAAGAGTTTGGTAAAGGAATTTTTTTTTTCACAATCCGCAATTTCACAATTCACAAACTAATCAGCTCCAGGTTAAAAATAAATTAGGCACAAATTCACGTTAAATTATTAGATATTCTCATAAGAACAAGTATAAAACTATGTTTATAATTCTTCCACTATGAAGCTGCGACAGGTATTTTGTGGCTGTAAAACCATTTTCTACATAGACAATTCCCCAGAAATTCTTCAGTTAAGAACCAACGAGCCTTGGCAGCGCCTGCCTTTGAAGGTCCGGCAGCCTTGCTGTTCTCTGGTCTCATCTGCAGAAGTAAATTTCCACAACTGCTGAGTTCTGCTTTTTGTTCCCTTTACATCTTAAAGGATTTTTTTTAAATCTGAGCACAAACATCTATTGTTTTTTCAGTTAATGATAAAAATACGCCTCCATAGAAATTTATATTAAGTTCTCACAAAAGTCACTTCCACCCCATCGCAAACCGTGAGAACAGATAAGGCCCTTTGGGATTCTATGCTATTCACATGGGTGTCCCTTGATAGTATATTCCTACTTTATTTTTCTTATGATATGGTCTGTAATGCATAATAATTGCTGAGTTGCTGCTCTATGAATCAATGAATCTGTCCCTGTTTTTATGCTATAATTAGATAGGTGAGCCCATAGGTGATCAGTCAGATTTCAAAGGACAAGCTTTCGCCGCACCCTGTGTGTCCATCTGCTCCGAATATTTCCAATGCTGATATTCCATAAGTGCGCTGGCAAGGTACAGATCAAATATTTCATAGTCTCACCTTTCGGAATGTTCGTCTCGTTATTCTTATCCAGGGCCTTGCCTTCCTAAACCAGAGGAAGTGCCTTGGAGCTAATGTGTTCCTCAGTGTATCTAAAATTAAGTATCCAGTCGGTGTTTAAATTAAGATCTGACCTTGGGCAGCAGAAGCACAAGTGTTCCCTGGCACACAGGAAAGAATTGCCCGCGACGGCTGCTGACTCTCATCAAAAGAAATGCAAGCTCGTAGAAGAAGAATAAGATTTGCTGTGTTCTGGTTGGTTCAAGGAGTTTATAGAAAAGACGAGCTGCCAGTTCAGCTGTAGGGAGGCTTCTTGCTGAAGGAAAAAGCCTCCCACCCACACAAGCCAAAGCACACTGTTGTAGGAATTCAGAAGGTAGATTGTGTGTTAGCAGATCCCCTGCTCTGGGCAGGTTTTAATGCTCACTATTATTTCCATGCTTCAAGTTTTAGATCCAAATCTAACAACATTGGACAAGATCATCTTATTACCAATTTGCTGTCCTCACTGTGATTTGCTCTTGGAAACTGTCACTGTGACTCAAGATACGGATAGAGCCCCCAGTGTATCCATGCTGACCCAAAATGCACAGGCCGACAAACGAGTATATGGAATAGTAAAACAAACAAGCAAATGATAAATTAATCACTGTAGATGTAAAGCAAGCAACAACAACAAAAAAAGAGGTTTTAGTTTGAGGGCCCTTTTCTTAAAGGACTACAAAATCAGAAAGAAGGAAATACTGCAACCAATAAAATCTGCCCTCTTACCATTTCCTGATGTGGAAAAAACCTGCCTTGTGGTTTTTTGTTTGTTTTTTGACAGGGCTATCTTTGAGTTACCCAGGCCACTGTCAACATTCACAAAGCCATCTGGCTTCTGTCTCTCCCTCTCCCCTCCCCCACTGACACAACCCTGCCCCAGGATTGGTCTCCTGGCTTCTGGGGCTGAGTGACACTCCTCATTCTATCTCAGAGTTCCAAGTCGGATTCAGTGGCTTTGATCTTTCTGCATTTTCTCCTGCAGGATTCTGAGTGCAGAAGCAAGCTAGACTTGATTTTCTTTTTCTTTTCACCTTTGTCTTTGGGGTCAGTAGGTAAATATGAATACTATAACCAATCTGCCATTGTTCTTAAACTCCAGAAAAACACCTGCACCTTCTTTAGCTGTAATAAACAAGGCGTGCTTCTCTCATCCTTGGGGCAAAACTTTGAAAATCAGTTCACATTTATATAACTGTTAAGTGAATGCCGAAAGAGTAACGGTGGGGGATGAAAAAGTCATGGGCATTTTCTAAGTTATTAACCTGATTTATTATTAACCTGATGGAACTTTTCCGTAAAAATTATTATAAAATTATTATAAAAGGCTCAATACTTCAATTTTCATACAACACTGCTTTAACGCTCATGTTAAAAATTCAAACAAATCTTCGGGGTTTAATGGAATTTATGGGAAAATGTGAACTCAACGTTTTCAAATGTGGTTTGGTGCGTTGCAGGGAGGTGCTTGCTCTTAAATCACTTTGTGTTGTCACAAGTGTGGAATAGTTACTGTAGACTGCTTCCAAATCACGTTCAATACAGTGTTCAAAGTGGTTCAGGAGAAGGACAAAAATGAGAGACTTTGCGGTTAAGTGAATGGCACAAGCTACTGAGTAACAGACTTACAAATAAATATTGCTTTCCCTCATGGCCTCTGACAGCTGGGATTTGCTTTAAAGTTCTGAGTCATGCATAGTGGCAGATGCCTGGGGAGGCAAAGGCAAGGGACCATTTGCTCAAGGCCGTCTTGGGCTATAGACTAAGACCCTTTCTCAAAGATCAAGAAATATTGAAACTCAATGTATTCCTCCCCATTACGGAAACAGCAACACTAAAGTGACCAAGTCACCCACTGAATTTATAAGGCCTATCCCTCAAGTCAACCATCCATACACATACGTCATAAAACCCTTGAGTAAAGAGCGATCTTCTAGGGTATTATAATCACCTTCACGTTTGTCTTGTTTTAACGTGTCTTTTTTTTTTTTCCGAGCAGATTTCAAACAATGCACCGGTGAAATTGCAGAATAATAAGAGTGTTTTTTAGAAACATGCCTTCGCGTTGCTAGCGGAGGCTGAGATTCAGGAGAGGCATGACCGAAGCGAGGGCTTATTTAATAGTACCGTTCCCATGAGGGTGCACGCAATGAGACTGACACCCAGAGACACCCCCTTCTGCTATATTTAGGAACACATGCATGTCCTGGTTCAAGATGATATTTATAGCAAAGGACACGGAGAATCTGAGGTTAGAATGGCTGCGATGTACTGTTCGAGGCTGCCCTTGGACTTGCCCGGTTCTATTTAGGGAATAAGGGGGTTTGGGTGGTACTGGATGAGAACTCCGAAGGAACACAGGAGCATCTCTGTGTCTGTGTTTCAGGCACCTGCTGGCCCTGACAGCCCCGTTTTACCGCAGGTACTCTGTGTCCCCGAAAACAGGTGTCAGGGCTGCAGGCTTGTCATCATGAAATGAAATACATCTCTTGCTATCATTACACATAATCCACGCACTGTCTCTCGGAGCCATTTATCAAGCTCCCACTAGACCAGTTCATTTTTATAGAGTTCTATAGGAAGCGCACACTAAGGTCTCTCTTTTGGGGAAAAAAAAAAAAAAACCTGGCCGGGGGGGGGGGGGCACTCTATGTTATCCTAGCATTGCGTCGACAGTAAGCAATACCTGCATGTATCCCATTCAGAACAAAGTAGACACGCAAGAAAAGGAAGTCATCAGTTTCCAGCTCGTCCAACTCGCTGTCGAGTGCTTGGATCATGGCCTTGTTTTTTCAGGCGGAAAACCAAGGAACTGACACCGAGTCAAACGCTTTAGCACAAACTCCGCCAGGAGTGCTAACGTCACACACACCTGCACGAGAATCCCCACGGCTGCCCTCATTCTAGGCACCGGCAGGCAGTCACACACTCAAATGCAGGAGAGTAGTTTTAAGGAAATTTCTCAGAACATTTTTTTTAAATTAATATGATCCAGTGTCAGAACCCTGTCAATAGGACAACCCGTGGTGAACAACGCCTTGGGGAACTGTGGGAGCAGCTAGCAATAAGGACCTTTACTCCAGGCGTATTTTGTTTCCTGGCTTGTTCCTGGATACCATTTCATGGCTACTACGACATTTACGTTTAATTTATAGGACATATTTGTTTTTGTTGGATGTTGCAATACATCTAGAGAACTCGATCTGGTCAGTGTACCCTGAATCTCGATACGTCCTTCTGCCTTGCTTTCTTGTTTCCCTTGGTATAATCTATAGTATCTGTCAGGCTTTGTGTTTAAATTGGTCTGTCATGAGAAAATTCTGTTGATATTTAGTGTGTGCTTACTGACCTTTATTTACATGTTTTTTTTTTGAACTCAAACAACCTTCCTTGGATCACTGTTTTCTTTGTTACATCTGTGTATAAAGCACACTAGAACTGAAGTCAGGCTGTCTACAGCATTAGACTGGTCTGCTCCATTCTTTCCGGTTCTCAGATTCCAGGTACAGCAGACAAGATCTGCACAGGTCAGTTGAAAAGTCAACATCCATCATTTTATTTCTGAGCACACGGCCACTGGAAATAAAAACCAACATCTCTAAGAGATATGTGCCCACCCGTGTTCACTGTAGCACGATTCAGAGAGGCCAAAATATGCAACCATGTCAAATATCCAGCAGTAGATGGCCAGTAAATATCATAATGGAAGGTTATCCACCCTTACAAAAGAAAGAATCCTGCCATTTGCAGTAAGATGGATGAGCCTAAGACGACAGAAATTGTATGATATCACTTATTTGTGATAAACAAAAAAACAGAATTCATAGAAACACAGTACAATAGTGTTTTCTAGGGTTAGGACAAAAAAGTACAAAATTTTAGTTACAAATGAATAAGTTTGAGAGTTCTAATGTATAACATGATAATATGTTATATGCTCATAGCACATACATTTTAAACATGTTAAAATAGCAGATCTTCAATGTCCTCATCAGATACAGTGCTTATTATCCCAGTGAGAGCTATACTAATTAGTTTGGTTGTTATTTATCTACACTTATCAAACCACCACATTATGTACTTTAAGTTTACACAAATTTTATTTGTTCATGGGACCTTAATAAAACTAAAGTTTTTTTTCTTTTTAAAAATTAATTTAAAAATATTCATACAATAAATATTTTGACAATGGTCTTTTTCCTCCTCCAAATGCTCCCAGACCCTCCTCACTTCCCTACCCAGACAACTACGTATGCTTTCCCTCTCTTAAAAATCAAAACAAAGCAAATAAATACACACACACACACACACACACACATGCACACATACACACACACACACATGCACACACACACACACGCACACATGCACACACACACACATACACACACACACACATGCACACACACACACACACAACCACCACCACCATCACAACTACATAATACCATGGAGTCCATCCTGTATTGGTCAACTACTCCTAAGCATGATGTCGACCCTAAAGTGCAGTTGAAGACCCATTGAAGAAAATGCCTTTAGGTATCAATTGCGAAGAGCTTCTTGGTCAGGGTGAGACTTTGTGCCCATTTCCCATGCTCGGTGCTGTTATTTGACAATTTCATACATGAATACAGGCTTTCTGAACACTCTTCCCACTTTTATCTCTCCCCTATGGGCCCCCGAAGCCCCTGACACCACTCCACATGCCTTTTCTAGTTTTATGACTTTTGATTTAATTTTGGGACATATTTAGTTTAACCATGGACAGCAGTGTGACCACTGGGTTGCACTGCTATCAACTGAAGCGCAGTGGAGTTATTAAGTTGGAAATCTTTTAAAAGTAAAATCAGTGATAAGATTGAAACCCAGGTCAGACAGTACAAATGTTAGTCTAGCTGTATTATACATCAATTTTTACCTGTAACAGGTCTATACTAGTGATTTATAAAGTGTTCTTGAGGGCAAAGGGGGAAGGAATATTCTCTCTTGTGTGAATAAGCTTGTTGCATCAACATCTAACAAGAATAAACAGCTTATTTTTCAGAACTGTTAGTCTACAACAGAGTCTCTGTAAGAGGAGGAATGTATACAACTCAATGCAAGGTTATTGGATTTCTTTGTTCAGTTACTTCCATCCCACTGAAGAACTATTAAGGGAATCTAACACATTCATTTGCCTGTCTATTCCCTGTGATTGTCCCACGGTAGTTTAATTATTGCAGCAGCACAGAATGATGTGACATTTGGGAAAGCAGGCTTTTATTCTTTATTTCAAAATTCTTTATGTCACACATTGCTTCTTACACATGGTTTTCAGAATCGTTTCTGGTAAGAAAAATGAAATTGTAACTGAAAGTACCCCGAGAATAGATTGATCTGGGGAAAATCGATCTGTGCAAAATACTGACTCTTCTCCCTAACTTATTTAAATTTTTTACTTTGGTAAAGTTTCAAAGATTCTTAATGAGATAGTGAGCAGTCCTTACATACTTAGTCATTAGTATCTTATAATTTTTATTGCCTTGTGAGTAGAATTGTCTGTCTCTAATCTACTTGAAATCCTGGCTTTGACGTGGTGGAAACTAACCTTGGTGTGTTAATTTTGTCTCAGTTGCTCTTCGGAGCTCTTATCTGGTTTCATGATTCCAGAGTGATTTTTTTTTTTAGCTTCCCTGTGTGTGTAGTCTCAGCATTACGGATGCTGAAATGTTGGATATATGTGTTGGGGTAAGGGAGAGGATAGA